CATCATATGTCTCATTTTCAAGTACATTCATTTCACCGTGAAAATACACACAAATACAAATAATATATTTTTTAGTACGTGAATCAAGAGTTGAAGTCTCAAATATTCTAGTATTTCTCTTATCATTTTCATAAGATATGGAAAGTTTATAAGTATTTTTTTTAATGAGATTTTATGCGTACGTTGGATTTTTGGAAAAGTGATTATGAGGTCCTTTATGTATGTTCTAAGTTTGGATCGGAATATAGTAGCGCTATGCGTGAAAGTTTCATACCACCTATATTCGATATAGATTTTCATGTCTCATTGTGTGTGTATGTATGTATGAAGTTCCTTAAATTTTGTACAATATTAATCTATATATTTATATGCTTATTGAGATTTTGTTTCACATCCTCACCCCCCTTTATCACCTTTCAAAAAATTGATGGTTCGTGACAATTAAGGCATGAGAGGGCTAGGTGGCAAGTGAAAGAAACCCACAAGCTTATTTTTTATTTATTTAATAACTTATTTAATTATTGGTTTGATATTAAGATTGCTAAGCTTCTAGTATTTTATTTTATGTTGACATCAAAATTTTATGTATTGACCCTTACAATTTCATGGTGTTATTTAAATAAATTTCAAGCTTTTGAAAGTGCAATATGATGTTCAACATACGATTTTAGTGGCACTCGAACTTTAGAATTCAGGTCGTCACACATATCATTCTAAATTTTTATTAATCTCCTTTTTGCAGACTAGTAATGGGAATCTGTGATTAATGTTCTTGTCCTTTTTTTCAATTTTTGCTATATAATGTGCTCCTTTTATAAAATCACATTGTCGTATAGTCTTTTATGATACCACCAAGTAAATTGAGGAATAGCTGTGTAAGTTATGAGAAAACCCATCAATTCAGATAAAGACGAAAGTAGCATGGTCTTTCCGACTTGCCAGTTTTGTTCACAATCCAAAGAATTTTTCACATGATGGTTCTATATAATTTTCTTTGGAAGTGATACTCTTCATTGAAATGCATACCTTATCGAATCTATCATATTTCGGACTTTAATAATAATGGTGGCCTAAATCAGTTTTTGTATTATGTACAATTTTTGCCTTCAGCTCAGAATTTATGATCAGCATTCAACATGATTGTACCTTCAAATTTCACCATTCTCATTGCCCTTCTCTTGGACTGCTAGGTTATTGATAAGTGTATTTTATACACTTTTTCAAAGCTTTAAAACAATGATATTTAGGGGGTGTTTGAGTCACATTATTTTGGTAATAATGCATTCTTGAATAGTGAAAATAAGGAAAATATTTTGATCTGCGTGTAATATTATTTTATTGAAGAATGTATGGTTAAAATGATGTCAAATAACTGTTTAAAAATATATTTTTTGAAATAATGTGGCTCAAACATGCTATTAATTGATTTTCGGATGAATTATGGTCTAAATTGTTGCATTTAGTGTTGAATAGGTAAAATTCAATGATGATACAAAAAATTGGAAGAATCAAAAGTGGGCAAAATTGAAAAAAAAATGACTAAGTTGTAAGAGATCCAAAGTTTAAGGACTGAAATGCAAATACTCAAAAGTTGTGTCGGACCTTATAATAAAGATGCAAGAATGCTCAAAATCAATTGGATAAAGAAAGATGTCAAAGGGATAAAACATAAACAAAGTATGATCACATATCAATTTTCAATTGAAAAAAGTTATGTATCGGTTTCAGCCTCATATTAAGACCCATTTTTGATATAGTAAATGATCAAATTTGAGAATGATGTCTGAATCAAAATTGTAGCCTTTTGAATTAACTTTCTAACACATCTTGAATCGTTTCAATCAGACATTGAGAGAAAAATTTTTAATAAAAATACTAAAGGAAGCACAGCCAAAATTTTTTATCCGGAGGTGGCCCAGAGGCACTGCCTGGGTGCGTCTAGGGTGCATTTTTTTTGCCCATTTTGAAGTCCATAAAAACCCTACTTTTTGCACACACGAGGAGGCACCTATAACTACAAATTTCTCACACTTTTGAAGAGGGATTTACACATTGAGAGGCAAGAAAACACTATTGGAAAATCAAAGGAAGATTTTAAGGGAGAAAAACATCGAGGAATTCACTGTGTAGAGTATCAATTGAAAGAGGAAGAGATTCTTGGTATAAGATCTATTTTTTCTTCTACATTTTTAATGCAAAATTCGGTGATGTATTCTATGACAATTAATATTTTTCTTTTTCTTTTTTCATTATGAATAGTTAAAATTGTTGTTAGGGCGAATAATATAATCCATTTGGAACCCTTTATATAATTTATTTAAAATTCTTGTTCTTCATTCTTTCATGTGTTGATTTTACTATAGATTGAATGCATTAAATTACTTAATTACTAATTTGATGAGTTTATGAATTCTTTACGAATAGAGATATAAATTTAGGATTTAGACCATATAGTAAAATTCGGTAAATTGGTATAATGAGTAGAGATACATATACTAATTATTGCGATCATAATTGATTTCGAGGACAAAGAACTCGTTTAACTAAGCACGATTCGCATAGAGATATGGAAGTGAATTAGTTAAATAGACTCAAAAACAACTCGAGAGGGGTAAATTGAATACAATAGGATAATTCAATCAAACACTACGTTTGGAAAGAGTCTTGATTTAAATTGTAAAGGTGAGCAATAGGTGAAATTATTCTCCCCTAACGTCCATTCATAATTTGATTTTCAAACCAATCGTATGTGCATTCACTTATTTTCTCGTATTTAAACTAAAACTCAAATCCTACAAGTTTTTATTTCATCAAATAGTGGTTAAAAAAAATTGAATTAAGTGCTAGAATATAGTTCTTGTGGGATTGACAACCCGGATTCTTACATCCACTATTACTTGTTACGGTTTGTATACTTGCAGGCATAAAATTGACATCAGTTATCTTTGGGTTGAAAGCTTTTGATGGGAGGTGGTCTCTGCCATTGTTGGATTGCAGAATTACATGATTCTTGAAGAGATCAAATTTATCTATGGAGGATCACTCTTCATTAGTATGACCCTCCTAATTCTTTGTAAAATTCCACCAGAGCAACTTTTTATTTGATTTTTCCAATATATTACATGAACAAGACTGGTGGAATTTCTTCATGCCACCACGCATAGCCCAAAAGGAAACGTATGTGTATGTTTTTGTGCTTATGAAGTAGCTAGTTTTACCTTCCTAATGTGTAGTTTTTCACTTTCCATCCCCCTTCTGTAAGAACTCTAATTTTCATACTTGACCTAATGCATGTATTATTTCAAGCTTTCGTTCATCTTTCTTTGGATTCGACTCTTAGTTTTTAAAGAATGATGCTCTAACTCTTTTTCATCTTTCCGTTTCTCTTTTTCGTTATTGCTGTGATGCACGACTTGTACCAAGGACTCGCGCTGCATTTCTTACATCTTAATCGTTTTTCTAATCTCTAATGAATCGTTTTTTTGTACTACAATATTTCGTACAATCTAGCTGCATACTGGACATATGATGATTAGTTCTTGTCTAGCTGTGCAATGAAGTGACTTATATTACATGGTCTGTTGGCACTAAATTTACATTTATATTTAGGGCGTCGAATTTAAATGTTGTCGATCAAGAATTTAGTAAACTGGTCATGTACCAAGTTAATTATGTACAACCACCAACAGAACATGATCAGTGGGCGATTATGTGATGAATCATTCCTTTATGATAAGTCGTCTTTTTTTTCTTGATATACAGTTTTTTATTGTCAAGACTGAAATCATTTTCTTTCTCCATCATATGGTGAGACAAACCCCACTTCCGCCGCTTGAAGAAATCATATTTTTTTGTTCTTGATGAGCCCTTTTCAGTCAAAGTAATCATACAGATTCAAAAAGAATATGAAGAAAAAAAGTACCATTGTCATATGGTGGAGAAAACAGTATAAATTATTGTGTATATAGGAATGAAATTTGCATTCATTTGTTCTTTTCGTGTTGTAATGATGTTCATATGAATGGTAATTAATTGCATATCAATTATTAAGGATAAATAATACTTTTGGGTCACTAATTGTAATTAGGATAATATTATTTATGAAAGGGCCCTTAAGAAACCTTTGTGGCTAGTGAATTCCACATCCTCTATATATCAAAATCCTCCCATTTTGCTTCACTTTGTGACTTACAATATATTAATGTATATGCTACATCTGTAATCATGTAATCCTACTTCGTTCCCCCTTTCCAGATGCTCATTGCAGTTTAACAAATTATTTTCCTTTCTATTTCAGCAAGGATCGTCTGGAAGAATAACGAGATAAGATTTATGGAGTCGACCTCATGAAATGCTATGGTTCTTACATATAATTTATTAATTTCTTCAGAAGTAATTCGCAAGATCATGCACCTCTCTTTCCTAGTTATAGAGAAAAAAGGTCCAGTTGGTTGGATCCAGCCTATTCTTGAAATAAACAACTCACACACTCCCTTTCCAAGAAAAGATCAATACACCAATCACTACACTTAGATTTATTGGATTTGTTGCTAAAATATCGGTATTAAATCCGAAACTCCCAGCAGATGACCTCGAGATTTTTTAGCAATTTTTAAGATTCTTGTATGGTGAGATAAGATTTATGTAGTCGACATCGAGATTATTCAGCACATGTTTTAAGTTTCTCGACAGTTTGATACGCAATTTTCTTTTAGATGCCAGAACAAAAAGGAGAACCCTTGACGACATGTATGCTGCGTAGTATTAGACAATGTTGGGCGACATAATAAACGTTAATATGCTTTGTGTTTTGATGAATCAGTGAGATAAGACTAATCTAGTCGACATCAAGTTTATTTAGCCCAGGAGATCCTTTAACGATATGTTTGATATGCTGGACAATGTTGGAAGATATGATAGATGAGTTTTTAGTTTCTTCTTCTTCTTTAGTACTGTCCAAGTGTGCCATCTTGGTGTTCTGATGGGAAAACTGCGAAAGCTGAAAACAAACCAGACATTCTATTAAAAACTTTCATTACATGCTAAAGAACAGGATTTTACAGCATCTTTTAACCTATGAAACAAAGTTGGATCCTTTTAGGAAGACAAGTGCCCATGAATCCATCCTTTGCAGAACCCCCCTCTCCTTTCCCTCCTAAACAGAGCCTAACGCTAACACTCTCTTTACTTGCACTATCATTCATTACCAAGAAAACTTTCATTACATGCTAAAGAACAGGATTTTACAGCATCTTTTAACCTATGAAACAAAGTTGGATCCTTTTAGGAAGACAAGTGCCCATGAATCCATCCTTTGCAGAACCCCCCTCTCCTTTCCCTCCTAAACAGAGCCTAACGCTAACACTCTCTTTACTTGCACTATCATTCATTACCAAGCTTGTTTGAAAAATGTCTTTTAGCCATTGTTCAAATAAGCTATTTAGGAATAAGCCACACCCTCTCAAAACTTCTTTCAACACCATTTCCTCCATGACGAAACAACACTGGTTCTTATTTCCACAAGCCTCTTGAAAAGAACTCTTGAATTTGGACAAGAACATTTCTCTAACTTGCTCGTCTTGATCGGATTTTGTATTGAAAACATAACGGTTTTTGATCTTTTCGATGAACCTTAAGGGGATTTGTTGACAAATTGTTGTTTCGCGAGTTGAGTTACTTGAAATGGGGCTGAACTGTCTCAACAGTTTGCCTTCACTCTCTTCGTCCTCGTCAGCTTTGATGTTGAGGTCGAGGATATTGGAGATTAACTGTTTCTTGAAGAAGTCCCTTTTCTCATTTTCAGTATCCTCTGGAGAGGCAACTTCCATTTCACTGTTTCTAGGACACTTTGTTATGTAATTAGGCGAATCCCATTCCTCTTTACGCTTGTGATTAAGATTAGGCATCCCTGAAGAGACAGCGGGTTCTTTGACGACCAGTTTCATCTGAATTACAGAGTCCGCATTTTCATATCTTGGAGAATCACCCTCAGTTAAGATGAAAACAACACGAGTAGAATCTCTCCCTTTCTTATCCGGTGTCTCAAACCGTTCATCAAGAAACTTAACCAACTCAGTATCAGCATGATCAATGTCTTCGACTAGAATGACAATCTTATCTTGATTTCTCAGGGCCTTTTCGAGCCTTTCACGGTTCTGAGTCGGTGTATTCGTATTCTTTCTCATGTTCATGCACAAAAGCAAGTCAGAAGAACCAAACATTGATTGTGCTATTCCAACAGCCAGTCTTCTTTTTCCTATTGAGTCATTTCCCTGAATAAATAACCATGTATCTTCGTTTACTCCTCTAGAATCCATCAGTGTTCCTACAATGGAAGCGATGGCTTCTGATTGCCAAGGCACATTTCCTTCCAACACATTACGCAATTCCGTTTTCTCATTTGTTACTGCATCAGTAAACAAGGAATTCCCTAGGCCGAGGGTGATTTTAACTTCCTTACTGTCCGTGCTTTTAAGCGAATCCAAATTTGGTTCTACCGACTGATGTTTGGGACTTCCATTGCTTAAACTAAACTCGATATGGCACGATTTCTGTCTTCTAAAACGAGGGAATGGACTAACACTTTGATTAGGATTCACGATTGGATCAGAGAATGACAGTAATTTCGACTCAGTAAAGATGCTATTCTGATTTGGAAAACACGGATATGATAAATTGTAGGGATAATTCCTCCCAAGGTATCCCTGATTGCTAACAATAGAGCTGATGTTATTCTGATTATGCCTCCCTTGGTGAAGATTATGGCACAATCTGTTCCATTTTCTCCTCAATTCTGTCAAATCATCCTGAAAATTTAAACTAAAATAATTAAATCTTAAGCCAAATTATAATCTTATAGTGAATTGATAGAAAAAATAATTAAGTACTACCTTCTCGGGTTTGTCGTTGCCACGCAGTTTAAGCCAGAAAGGCAATTGTGCTGAACCATTTTCTGTGTTCTTGCAAGAGTTTGAGTGCACAGAAGATTTCTGCTGGCTATAGAAGCCAACTTCTTTTTCATATTTGGAGGTACATTCTGGGCAGCAATTCAGCACATCTTCTTCCACTCCTGAGAATGACTCCTTTTCTAATACTGGTGAGAAGCTAATTTTTGAATCTCTCAAACTGCCAAAAACAATAATGCAATTACACAAGTAAATCTTGTACTCTATAATTTTGAAGTTGCCTATGTAAATTCATTAGTAGATCTAGAACATCATTATCAATTATATGAGTGAAGTGAAAATAAAATTTGGTCATGCCCTCATATTCAAACAAGAAACCCTTAAATTTTGGTGCCAAAATCCATCTTTTCATTTAACAAAATGTTCAGTCAAACTAATAGAAAACATTATCAGCCTTAACAGACAAACAAAGCAAGAAAGTGATAAAGGTCGGATATTACTTTTTCACTGTCACGCACTGGTCTTGTTCACAGAGTTCAGACAACCTAATTTGAACTAAAAAACAAGAGGATCCAAATGAAAAGCTTTAATACAGACTAACCAAATATGATCTACTTCTTTTACACATTTAGAGGCACTAATTAACAAATAAGTAAGAAGAAAATTGAATTGGCTAACCTCGTAGCAGCATTGAGACTCAATCCTAATCCACCAGATGGAACAGAAACTGGTTGAAGATCCCATTGAAGATCCAGTGGGGGCTGCTTCATTTGGCATTTTATATAGGTCTGGTAATTTGCAGTAGTCATTAACCATACCCTTGTGCTTGAATTGTTGAACCAAGAAATCAATTTTCCAATCTCAGCAACTAAATAATCAACTGGATTAGAACCAGATTCTTCCTTAGGCTCTCTCTCAACAGAACCAGGGTCAATAGTCCATTTCAAGTCGCCTGCATAGATAATGACACCACCACCTGGTGCTACAGATTCAACCTTCCTTTTCAGGTCTGTAATACTCATCTTCACTTCTTCTATCTTCATGAGCCTGACAGGTACTGATGAAAACTGGAATTTGATGAAGTGGGCTGGTTTCATCTCCTCAGGAATATCACCTCGCTCCATTTTACTCATCAGTTCTGAAACGAGACCTTCGGTTATGGATAAAGAATCACCAATTATGACTGCGTTTCTTCGTTTCTTCCTCAGGAAAACATCGAGAACAACCTTTACGTCGTCCTTTAAAGAAGATAGAGATGCATCGGAAAAATAATTGCTCAAAGGTTTCTTTTGAGGGGAAAAGAAAAGAGGGTTTGGCTCGGGAGAGTAAGAAAGAAAATGCGAATGCAAGAAACTGGTGGGGTTGGTGAGTTCTCTGTGGGTTTCAGTTGGAGGAGAGCTTGGTGTTGAGTAGATCCCACCAGAGGTGTTGTAACACTGAAATACGGATGAAACTGAAGAATCCTCTAAATTGTTTTTCACTGCAGTGCTGGAGAAACCAGCTTCTCTCATAACTCGACTGACACTAGGGTCATCCAAGATTGACAGAATAAGTTGTTCCAGTTCTACTTTAATGGCTATAAGTGGTTGCTGTTGTTGCTGCTCTAAACAACCCCTCCTCTGGTGTGCCTGTGCCCTTTTGAGTGCAGCAATCAGTGCATTGGAAAGCGAAGGCTGGCCGTGGAGAAGCGGGCCAGGAGTGGCCGGGAGACGGTTGAGGGCCACGTTGAAGCAAAGCTCAAGGGCTCTGCATTGAAGAGGATGAGAAGCTTGATGAGGCTGAGATTTGAGACAGGCTCGCCGGAGAATACTGACTCTTGAGCTCAGCAAGGTGGCGGCGACATGAAGAGGAGTGACCTGAGCGTGGCCACGCCGCCTTGCTAGGCTGAGAGAGTGCTTCAAGACTGAAGCAGCCTCCAATGAGAGGGTCTGTTGCAATGCACAAGCTCCTGCACGCATAACTTAGCCCACACTCCACCCCCAAAACCCCCTCTTGGATTGAAAACTCCTTATCTTCTTCACAAACTCAACTAAATCTTCTCTCTTTTTTCTTATACCCTTCTCTTCCCCCTTAAATTATAACCCAACCCCACAATTTTTCTTCAGTAATCACTGTATAATTTCTTCAGACTATAAAGAAACCTGGTTCTGGTTTCTTGTTTATATTAGCTGAGGCAATATTGAGAGTGTCTAGAAAATGGCCAAGATTTTCAAGTGATATCACACCGCCTCAAATAGATATATAAATAATGAAGTTGATTACTGGGGTGGGGTGGGGTGGGGTGGGGTGGGGTGGGTATTGTATAGATTTTTAGGCTTTTTCCCTTCTGTTTCACCCCTCCAAATAATAAGAGTTGTATATTTCTAGCAGAATAAACATAAAAGTTACTTTTAATTATTCTACCAGATAAGTTAGCTCCAATAATTTAAAAAGGCTGAAGAATAAGAAAGAACAATCCACACATTTGTTTGTCTTGAACAATTACTCATTTTAGTCTGTGGGTTTTCATGCAAATTGGAATTAAAACGAGGGACCCATAATTCTTTGTGTCATGTGAACTCAAATTAGAGTGCTCTTTCTTTAATATTTATTTCTGGGTAAAGAAAGAGATTAATTGGTTCTTCTTTTTTGTGTTTGAATGAGAGACAGAGACAGCAGAAATTCAAAAAAAGCAGTAAAGTGAAAAGTTACGGAAAGAAGACAGTGTGCAAAGAGAGAGAACAGAGAAAGTAATACTATTATTTTGTGTTTATCATTTGTTGTTCGCATATAAATGTGTACAGATACGATGTGCATGATCTGAAATTTTATAGAGAGAGAAATAATGCCACGCCAATCCTCGTAGAGACAGCATTTTATTCTTCCAAGTACCCAAAAAGCAACAATCTGTCTGCTATCCTACATAGCATTATTGCCTCTTTTTCACTTTCTCTCTCTCATTCTCTCTCCATCTCTTTTCTTAACTTTATTGAAGATTAGAAATCGATAAGAGCATGAATGTGAATTGATATTTTCAAAATTACTTTCGCATCTTTATTTACATTTCGAATGATTTAAATTCAAATTTTATTCCAATAGAAAATTTTAAATTCACAATTTGCCTCTTGTGGATGTAAAAAATGATTAAATTTGCATCCTTTTTTTTTTTTTTTTTTGAACATTTTCCGTCTATATAGTATAGTTGGATGGTTCTATATGCTGATATAGTAGGATCGTCCAATGAAATCATGATACCCTGAACTAGGAATAATTCAAATTATGATACTTTAGGCGATCATGCATATAAAACCTTTCCATTGAAGTTTTTTCTCCTTTAGTACACTCGCTTGTTTAATCCATCCATTCCTACATTTTATTAATAAATAGTGATTATGCGCGATTTTTGATAGCATCAAATAGTAAAAATAAAGAGAGTGTACATCAAGGTGAAAAACGAGTAAACCATTAATAATATCTATAAATATGCATGGTGTACTATATATCGAAATAAATATGTGTGAAATTTGGAGTTGTTCACTCTTAAATAGGAGAGGGGCACATCAATTAATGGGTACATGATCATTTTATTCCTAAGACACACTATAAACTTATCCACTAATTAATTAATATATTTACTTAACAAAAGCTAAGGAATAATGTTTAACATATCATTTCTTTATATGTGTGAATGGTGTAAGCTTTTGATTATATATAATATAATCACAAAAACCCATTTAAGACCTTTTTGCTTAATCAAGATAAGTATTCTATCCTAATTATAATTAAAAGCAATGTGGTTTATTTTCCAATCCAAAGATAACAACGGCAGAATATTGCACCTAATGATGCCAATCAAGCCAAGTAGCTCATTGACATGTCGACTTGGCTTGGAAATGCTTGGTCCATGGATTGCTCTGGACGAGCCCAAGCTCAGCTCGCCAAGTTTGACGAGCTTGGCTTGTGGCTCACCATAATAGAGTGACCAAATGATCACTTTTTCACCCAAAAAAAAATTTTAAATAATAATAATAATAATAATAATAAAAGTGACCGTTTGGTCACTTTCAAAATCTTTTGAAATTTTTGTTTAAAAACGGTCACAAAACTTCCGAAGAGATCTTTGGTCTCTGATTTTTTAAAACTATTTTTCATCTATAAATACTTCACTTTAGATCTTTTTTCTCACAACAAAATCTACAATCTCTCTTTTATACTCTATGTCATTCTAATTTTTAAAATTCCTAATCCATTCATTACTCACTTGACAATAATTTACTTATTTACATTCTACAATTCTTCTACTCTCCACAATTATGTTACAATTACATACACACAACACAATACATTCCATAAGTTAAACAAGTATCGTCAATGAAGTGTTCGACCAAACACATGAAGTCAAAATGAGAAACACTGCTATTTAAGTACGTTAACAAATCAATTTAAAGAGAAATCATTCAACCCGTATGATTCAAAGTACATTTAATTATTGATTTCGATTCTTCAAAAACTTTCAAGAAAAAATTGATTTCTTGAAGGTTTTTTGAGGAGGTGAAAGCAATAACTAAATATACTATGAGTATGTCAAAATTGCATGTTATCAGGTAAACAGTATAAACAAACTTCGTTATTCTCTTAATAATATTTTTATTTTTAAAAAAAATTGTACACGTAATAACTTGTTCATGTCAAGCTCATGGCAAATAGAGCCAAGCAAAGCCATTGACTTTGGAAAAAATACATTTTTGAATAGTATATTGATGGGAAATGTGTGGTTAAAAAATAAGTAAAAATTTTGAATTTACGTGTAATATTATTTTATTGAAGAATGTGTGGTTGAAATAAAGTTAAATCACTGTTTAAAAATGTATTTTTTTCAAATAATGTAGATCAAACAAGGCCTTACAGTCTAATAGTTGTTTCATTGACAAATAGATTGACCTAAACTCATGTTAAACTTCACTAGTTATGCATACTCATCATTAATATTAAAACAATTCTATACATTATTAGTGGTGATCATGACTAGTTTAGATGACATTGAATTCTCTGATTGAGGAATAACTATTATTCACAACACGACTCAATTAAAATATTTGTTTAAGCATCAATCATGAAGATACTCCACGGCAACTTTAAATACAACTTTTTTCAACAACAATCGTGTACTTAACGTAATTGAGTTCTGTTATATATTTTTAAATTCTAAATGAAGTTATGTATCCAGAGAGTACCTACCATTTATTAGTCTAACCCCTTCATAAGTAAACTTTCCTCTAACAAGGCATTCTATTTGATAGTCGATATCGAGTTGAATAAGTTATCTCAACTCAACAGATTTTGGAATAGACTCTTATTATTGTTATTTAATCAATAAACTAACTTGAATGACTCTATCCAAATTGCGGATTATAAAACGTATAGATAATATTAATTGATACGTCATCTTAAATGAAATATATATTTCTATATTTCAAGACATTATATCAATCAATACCACTTAAATGCCACGTTTAAATAGATTGCATTATTCCTAGAGAATTTTTTTCGATTACATGTACACGCAAGGTTAAGGAAAAAGTTTAAATAGAATATTGGAACCTAATAAAAATTGGAAAGTAGGATAGCTATGATTGTAGTTTAGAAAAGATGATACCACTAATGTACAACTTGCAATCATCCCTCCAAAAAGAGGCAGTTCTTCAGATAAATAATGAATAACCAATCAGCGGTCATATTGGAAATTTAGTTAGTACAAAAAAGTTGAAATTTGCAACAAACAATAGAATCTATTTGCTCTCTAGTAGCCCCCAGGGCACATCTCCAAGTGGTAAAAGGGGAGGGTGGAGAAATCCAATTTTGCTTGAAATTGTCACATCAAGGGTTCGGATTCTAAAATATGGATTTGGCTCTTGGGTAAGTGCAAGTATATAGGCAGTCTTCCACCCTGTACCCTTGGAGGCATAACCTGCGATTTACCTTTCTCACGATACTCTAGAAAACTAATGTAAACTACTCAAAGGTGCTCTTGAGGGCAAACTTTTGGGTGGTAGTACATAGACATCGATTGGGTCATACATCTGGTCTAAAACATTTTCGGATCGTTGGAGAGGGGTCTTTCCTGTGAGAAGGGGCTCGTCTGGTTGAAAAATGTTGTCTGGGTGATGGTGCACTGAATGTAGGATGAAAAGTAGGTGCATCTGATCTCATGGTGCTAGTTGCATGTGCGTCTGATCTCATGGAGCTCTGTGCTGCAACATTTGAGCATGGGAGAGTGACCCACTGACTTTAGGTACATTCTCGTCTGCATTTTGCACACAGTATACAAGGCCCATGCCATCCATGTCTCTCTGTATATGTTCTTTCACCTTATTCTGTGTAGAAACCTTGATAGAAGGATTAGGTAAAGGTGTATGTGTAAGAGTCTTACTCACAAAATGTCTCTCACCAAAGAGCTTGATAACCAAGTCATCAATGGCAAGTCTTAGGGTCGATCCAACCTTCATGCCATGGTCATTCTTAAAGTGATTAATCAACTTATGCTTGACACATCTAAGTCGATCTTAGCTAACAGCCCCTAAGCAATAGTGGTATGAGGAACTGTCCCTATACTTGATCCATGTGCTGATTGTGTACCATCTATTTATGTTTTCAATGGTGGAGAACTGATATGTGTTAGCTCAAGGGGTACCTCAGTAGTAGGGATGTGAATAGGAGCTATGGAAGTGATAATAGGAGAAGTGGGCACCTCGATAAGAGCCTTTGGAGTTGGCTTAGCAACTGAATGAATAAATGGTACTTCTGAATCAACTAGGATAGGGATAAAGGTAAAAACTACTAATGTAGATGTTAACTCTGTCACAAATGCGACAGTAGTAGTGGGAAGCACAAAAGGCACTGCTGAAACTGGCACCCGCTGTTTCCTCGGCTCCAAAAGTCACCTTACCTTTACCCTTGTCAATCCTAGTAATAGGGGTTTGAACAGTGAAAGGCACAACAATTGTAAGGGGAGCAGGAGATGTACCCGAACTACACTGATCATAAAAATGTCCCCAAGTGTTTATAAGAGAAGCAAAAAATTGACGGCTTTTCATAAATAATTGTCCGCCAGAAGCCACGGTTACTAGCGCGTTCAATCCAAACCCTATCGGGCAACTTAAGCCCCAAATTCACCTCAATGTACACCCTTGTCTCACTAGGTTGTCTTAAGTCGAAGGTGGCCTCATGGATCCTCAAAGTTATT